GGAGTATTAAAAGAGGGAGGCAATTTTCGTACAAAAGAAGATTGTGCCCGAGCTATAAAATAATATCACATGGAATTATCAAATGATTATAAAGTCGACCGAACGAATCCGACTCTGTATAAGATCTACTGTCGTAACAAGGTGTGCCAGTTCCGGTCGACAACATCTTATCGGAAGAGAATCGATTCATGGAAGACAGGGTCTATGGGTCTATAGTAGACTTGTATAATCACCAATCCAATGCAGGATCATCGCAAACTTAGATCTCAATTGATATGCAATGAAATTTTGTCTGTCATTAGCGACAATCCTTCTTTGAAGGTGAGTACCATAATATCGCATATTGTTCAAAGATACAACTATACCCCGTCATACAGGAAAGCATGGATAGATATGACTAAGGCAGTTGAAACAGTGTTGGAAAATTAGGAGGAGTCGTACAAAGAAATTCCAAATTACTTGGTGGCACTTAAACAATATGCTCCAGGGACGATTTCTATCTTGGAGACCTTGTTGGCGTATACCCCAGACGGGACTTATGTTAGTGGAAATGGAATTTTTCCACCGACTCACTTGGGTGTTTGAACCATGTATCAATGGTTTTGCATATTGTAAACCTATTATACAAATTGATGGAACATGGTTGTATGAGAAATATAAAGGAACGCTACTCATGGCAGTGGCACAAGATGACAAAAACAACATTTTTCCAATCGCCTTCACTCTAGTTGAAGGGGAGACTGTTGTGGGTTAGAGTTTTTCCTAAAAAATCTCCGATTACATGTGTCTCCCTAACCTAACTTATGTTTGAGTTCTGACAGACATCCATCAATTAAGAGTGCATATAAGAATCTTGATAACGATTGGCAGGATCCTCCATCAACGTATGTCTATTGCATTAGACACATCGCTCAAATTTTTATGCGGGAGATCAAGGACAAGACGTTGCGGAAAAAGGTTGTGAACGCATGGTATGCACTAACAGAGCCTTCCTTCAAACACTACCGTGGCGAAATCAGATTGACAAACACAAATGCATTAAGGTGGATCAACAATATTCAACTGAAGAAGTGTATCAGTGCATATGACAATGGCCAATGATGGAGCCACATGACAACAAACCTCGTTGAATCAATGAACTCTGTATTCAAGAGCATCTGAAACCTACCGATAACCGCTTTGGTAAAGGCAACATGTTTTAGGCTCGGGGCACCTTTTGATATTAGACATTCAAAGTGGAGTTCTGTCTTACAATCTGGGCAGTTTTCAGTGATAGTTCGATGAAATTCATTAAGGACGAAGCTGCCAAAGCTAACACACATGCAATCACAATGTTTGACCGTAATAAAGGTTGGTTCAGTGCTGCTGAGTCAATGGATCACAGAAGGGAGACCGAGGGGATGCTACCGGGTGGAACTAGATAGAAACATGTCTTCTGTATGCCTTGCTCCCATGTAATAGCAGCATGTTCAAAGGCTCTCCAGGACCTTTCTAATTATCTGTCAGTTGTTTACTAGGTCATTAGTCTATGCAATGTCTATATCACTATCTTTCAGGTAGTAGCAAATGAGGACTATTGGCATGCATACGAAGGGGAAATTGTCTGACATAATGAAATTATGTGAAGAAAGAAAAAGGTCTCCCTAATAGCACGTGTATTTGAATGAAGATGGATACGGCAAACAAAATGGTCAAATTATGTAGTTCATGTCGTTAGCCCGGGTACAATCGTACAAAATATCCCAATGTAGGATCAAACACAACATCATAGTTTTAAATGTAACATTGTCTCTTTATATCAACAACAACTTTCATTCCACTAATACCATAACATTCAATAACAATAATTTAAAAACAACAAGTAATACTAATTTAAACACTTAAACAATAAAACAAACAAATATATTGACTAAACAACATAACTAAGCGATTACAACCATCACAGCAATTTCCTGAGAACTATACATCAACGTATGAACATCTTGGTCATTAGTAACATTCTCCCAGAAATGAACTTCTCAGTTTTAGTTGAACGTGGTAACAAGCCTTTGAATTCTTCTGATCTTTTCACCCTCTGGAATGTCTCCATCTAACAGGCGGATCAGACTCCTGTTAAGATGTTCTAACGTCAATGGTGAATATTCATTGAAGGTTTGGCTGGCAAGAAAATTAAAATGACATTTCTTTTATGGATATATGGAACCTGATAGAGATATTTTGAGGAAGAAAAGGAAGAAGATGAAACCATTTTGACAGAGGAATGCAGAGAAGTTGGTTCAGAGAAAAATGAAGACAGGGTGGTAAGTATTTATAAGGGGAATGTGTAGTAGTAGCCACACAGATGGTTTAAAAAAAATACAAGGGTGGCGCCATATAAAATGGCGCATGAGTTGTTTTATTAAAGGTATGCGCCATTTCATATGGCTTGGTGGACATGTATTAGCCATTTGAAATGGCACATAGGAACAACATTCATGAAATGCACTATTTCATTTGGCGTATCCTTATTCTTCAGATCCCAAACTACGTTATTTTGATAATTTTTTTAAAAACATGAATATATACAGTGGTGAAGCCAGAAACTTTTTGAAGCCTGGGCAAAAATTTAAAGATGATAAATTTATATTGTATATATAAACAGTTATCAATCAAAATAAAAGATCTTTAATTTAATTGGTCTCGGCAGAATTTTAAAACTAATATAGTCATATCCAACTTGAGGCTGATTCTAACATAGAACATCATCTCATGTGATTCATAATAATTCATGAAATTAGCAACAAGTTAACAACAGAGTTTTATTTGCTAACTACTGTAACTACAAACTAAATTTAAAATACAAATTTCTAGTTAACATAAATTGAACCATATAATTTATATAAAGTGAACATAAATTGAAGTATTAGACCTAATATATTTTTTATATTATTTGAGGATAAAATGTATTATTTTCTTCTTCTTTTTTACAACACTATACATTTTTTTTTATATTTTAATAGTTGTTACTTTTATGTTAACTTTTATTTTTCCTAAGTATTCATTTTTTGTTTTTGATTAATTTGGTCATAAATTGCAACTTTATTCTTTATTTTAATTCTTGCACTTTTTGTAATGTAGTTGAATCTAAATATTATAATAACAAAAAAATTAATGTAATGTATGCTTAATTGCATAAAAAAGGTAAAAAAAAATCATGTTTTATTTGTGAAAAATGTTTAATTTATGGTGGTCAAAACTGCCATTATTAACAACAAAAAACCGCTTTTTTATTCAATATATATTATGACATGAGAAATTTTATTCAAAATTATTATATTTTTTTGCAATTTTCATAAATTGTGGCAGTTTTAACCGCCGTAACAGTACTTAATAACCGCCACAAACTTCATATTTTTTTTGTAAAAGAGAATTTTTTTTTGGGGCAGAGCCTGCGCACATGCCCAGTATGGCCGGACCTTAAAATCGCCTATGAATATATATATATATATATATATATATATATATATATATATATATATATATATATATATATATATATATATATATATATTTTTTTTTTTTTTTTAAATAATAGGTTATTCTAAGAAAAAAATTCTAACTTGAGACTTTTCTCGACATCCATACTCTTTTGCATGAATTCTCTTATAAAATATTATTTAATTTCTTTATAAATTTATTCAAAAAAAGAGAAAAAGAGATAGTTTTTATATTAACTAAAATTATATCGATTATTATCATGTTAAATTAGCTCAATTGATAGAAATACACATATTCGAACTAGTATCATCATGTTCATTCATCTTTAAAAATGTTAAATTCCAATTGCAAAACAATTTAACAAAAAAATAAAATAATACTATTGATTATTCAACAATCCGTTTTCATGAAGATTCAACTAAACCCTTATTAATAAAGTAATACTTCAAATATTTTTTCATTGTAATAAGTAAAAGTATAATATTTGATAAAACTGTATCTATCAACATTAAAAGTGATATATACATAATACTATTAATTAAAATTTTCAATCGAAATAAATTAATGAAATTAAAGTTAAAACATAAAAGATAACTAATATATTCTCTCAATAAAATATATTCAAAATATAATTAATATAAATTTATTCATAACATTTTCTAAAATTATACATTTTAATAATTGTGATTCGTTACGCAACTTTAGAAACTAAGATCAAATTTGATATAATATTCATTTTAAAATAATTTTTACTGACGTATTGCATGTGAAATAAACAAGTTCTTTTAAGGAAAAACACTTACGTGTAGCCGTTTTAATAACATTTTTTTTGAAAATAATCATATTATTATTTTATTGTTATCTTCATTTTTACTGGTTTATTATTGAAGTATATCTAAAAAGTTTCCATTTCCAGTATCTTGTCATTCACAAAGTATATCACATTCCGTCGCCTACTTCCCTCTCTTTGTTATCGCTGTTGCTTCTCTCTCATCTTCTCTATCTGCCATCATCATTCATCATTTTCTTCACTCAAACGCACACACAATTAACAATTTAACAATACAAACGGAAAGGGATATTCCAAGCAAACGCTTACTTTCCCATTCTTTCAGGGTTTCGCTTTTGCTTTTCTCTTCCACTTTCAGATCTGAAATTCGTAATCGTTCATCATTTCAAACCACCGATCTCGATTCTCTTCTCCATCCTTCAATTCTTCACTTCGATTCCACTTTTCGCTGACGTTGGATTCGCTGCGTTGTTCATTTCTCACTTTCATGTTCTTCTTCGGATTCCAATTCTCCCCTCATCGTGAGTTTTTATTATTTATTATTGCCTCTTTTTTCATCATCATCTTTTTGTTTTCGTTGTTTAATTTTTGTAGTTTATTAATTATTGTTATTATTATTGTTAATGCGATGGTTATGAGTTTTAATTTTCGATTCTAACCCGTGTGTGATTTGTGAGAAGCGTGTGTAAACAGATCTTGAAAATTGGCGCCCCAAAGACGGTCACAGCGCCACATGGGCGGCCAGATGCATCAGAGCAATGCTGCCGCGGCTGCTCTGTATGACCATGCCGGCGCTGTACCTTTGCACGGTGCAGCGGCAGGGACTGCGAACGATGCTGGCGATGCTGTTATGGCACGCTGGTTGCAATCTGCCGGCTTACAGCATCTGGCCTCTCCGTTGGCTTCAAATGCAATTGATCAACGGCTTCTCCCCAACCTTCTTATGCAGGTATTATCACCGCCGTCTCTTCGTTTGATAACATCTCCTTTAGATTCTAATTTGCAGTTGTGCAAGAATTATCAATTTATTTCTCTCTCTGGCTTGCTGTTTTCCTTAATTTTTTTGCTGAAGTGAATGCCTTATACCATATCTACCAGTTATGGGATACTAGTTTTGTGTGTACTCTAATGCCTTTCATGATTTGGATGAGCATGCATAACTAGAAGCTTTTTTTGACTGTGGTATTATCACCGTGGTCTCTTCCATTGATAACAACTCCTTTACATTCTAATTTGCAGTTGTGTCTTGTTTAGAAGAATTATCAATTTATTTCTTCCTCTGGCTTGCTGTTTTACTTAATTTTTATGCTGAAGACAATGCCTTATGCTTATGCTGTATCTATCAGATAAGGGATACTAGTTTTATGTGTACTTTAATGCCTTTGATGATTTGTATGAGTTTGCATTACTAGAAATTTTGCACCATTGACCTAAATCAATGCTGTATATTTTAGAGGGATACAAATGTGTACTTGGTAAATAAGAAGCTTTCTTTGACTGGTATTAGTTTTCGTTGAGCATGCGAAATGTTTATTTTTTCAATGTAATTGTTTATGATATGGTAGTTATTTATGTAATGACTTAGATAAACATGATATTATCATTTTCATAGGGTTATGGAGCCCAGTCTGCAGAAGAAAAACAAAGACTTTTTAAGTTGATGAGAGGTCTCAATTTTAATGGGGAATCTGGTTCAGAACCATATACACCCACTTCCCAAACTTTAGGTGGAGTGGCTGTATCAGATGGGTTTTATTCTCCTGACTTTAGAGGGGATTTTGGAGCCGGTCTTATGGATCTTCATGCTATGGATGATACAGAGCTTTTGTCTGAGGTATGATGACTTAATGTGCCGCTATTTAGACAGTCTTCTCAATTATATCAGCAACAGTTTGAACAATAGTCTTGGGTTTGAATCTTCTTGACCGTAACCTATAGTGATTCTGCTTCAAACTTTTTCATTGTGTATGATTAATTTCATCCATCCCTTTTGTTGCTTCATTTTCCCTAACTTCCATAAAGTAGTACAAGTGTCTTTGTTTGCATTTGTTTCATTTGCCTCTGATCTATTTACTCTTTTCAGCATGTTATCTCAGAACCCTTTGAGCCATCACCCTTTATGCCTGGAGGTACCAGAGAATTTGAAGATGACTTCAACTCAGTCAGCAGCAAGCAGGAAGGAGAAGCAATTGCTGATGCGTCACATTTTTTACCCGTGCATGAAAAAGACACTAATACAAGAGAAAATAATGTTGCTAAGATAAAAGTTGTGGTACGTCAATGTTTTACGCATTCCAGTAACCTATACATACATCAATATATTCATAGTTTGATGTTAAAGCATGTAGAAAGATATAGTTCTCCTGTGACGTTGTAGTTATACTTGGGTATTGAATTATATATCACAGCCTAGTCTCCCTCTAATCATGAATTTTCCCAAACTAGAGTATGAGTTGCACTAAAACAATCATCATTAGGAAAATAACATGCACTGGGTGCATTATTGATTCCTACATTTTAATGCAAATAAACACTTTTAGATTCATTAGAATTGTGGAAGGTTTTACTTATAATTACTTGAAGAAAAAATAATATATTTTTTCTCTTGATGCATAATTTAGGTACGTAAAAGACCTTTAAATAAAAAGGAACTTGCTAAGAAGGAGGATGATGTTGTAACGGTTTACGACAATGCATATTTGACTGTTCATGAGCCCAAAGTGAAGGTTTGTTGATGTTGGAGTCAAGCACTATGTTTACCATTTATTTATAAACGATATTAATTCAAAGGTTGAATTACCTCTGACTCAATATTGGGTTCTATTTCCAATTTTTATATTTATTTTCCTTTCAAAAATCTAATTGTTTTTCCTATGATGAAAAGGTTGATTTGACAGCTTATGTCGAGAAGCACGAATTTTGTTTTGATGCTGTTATTGACGAGAATGTTACCAATGATGAAGTAAGGAAGCCCCTTATCAAAATTTAATTTTACCCCCCTTTCCTGTAGTTGTTTATAGAATCGATTGCTTGCCTCTCTTTATCTTTGTTGCTAATTTAAGGCATGTTTGCTTTGCAATAATAGGTATATCGAGTTACAGTAGAACCTATTATTCCTACAATTTTCGAGAGGACAAAAGCTACCTGTTTTGCTTATGGTCAGACAGGTGAGAAGATCAATACCTGTTTTGTTTATATTATACTTGTACTAAATGGTAAGCATCACCCAATTATACACTCCAAACCGTTCAGCTTTATAAAAGAACAGGAGATACTAAGCCCGGCTGGAGAAGGAAAGGATAGAGATTAAGCTCTTCTTTTTTTCCTACCTGTGTAGTGTTGTTCCTGGGTATTTTTGTGAAATATGGGAATAAGCTCAGTATATTTAGCATCTCAAAGTTATCATAGCATATTCATTTTATAATGACTGGCTAGAGTTTGGAGGCTATCAATGGCCTTGGCTTACGCATAGTTATTTCTCGTGGTAGATGCAGCTTTATCCTTGTATAGCCATCACCTGATTCACCTTTGTTCATTACTGTGATGCTTTTGCTATTTTGTGTTTACTTTCAGGAAGTGGCAAAACATTCACAATGCAACCATTACCACTCAGAGCTGCAAATGACCTTGTTAGACAGTTGCATCGACCAGTTTACCGAAATCAGAAATTTAAATTGTGGCTTAGCTACTTTGAGATATATGGTGGAAAATTGTATGATCTTCTTGGTGACAGGAAGTAGGTATTCCTTTCCTAAAGAATATAGGGTGTGTTGTGTGTGTCTGATAGTGTCAGGACTAAGGCATTTAATATTTTTCATTTGGCATGTATGTTTTATATTTATGATCTGGGCCTTAACTGGAAGATTGTGTTTTTAATGTTTACTTCAATCAACATGTGGAATTCCTACACAAGAGTGTTTGTTACACTCAGTCCACTTAAAATGACCCATGGACAACCCACCAATGTATTCCTCTGGATTTGCCATGCATTGCTAACTTCATCCTTGATCTAGTCTAGCATGATTTTTATTGTTTTTTTTTTCAGTTGTGTGCATCCATTTGTCCAAATTAGCACGCATTTACGGTGCTTACCAAGTGCATTAGCCTGTATATTATATTTGTCAATAGCTTGCTGAGTGGTTATGCTACTCTATGAATAGGAAACTCTTAATGAGAGAAGATGGACGGCAGCAAGTTTGCATTGTAGGACTACAAGAATTTGAAGTGTCTGATGTACAGATTGTCAAAGACTTTATTGAGAAAGGGAATGCAGCAAGGAGTACAGGATCCACTGGCGCGAATGAAGAGTCCTCCAGGTCACATGCTATCTTACAACTGGTTGTAAAGAGGCACAATGAAGTAAAAGAGAGCAGGAGAAAAAATGATGAAAATGAGGCAAAAAGTGGGAAGGTTGTGGGGAAGATTTCTTTCATTGATCTTGCTGGAAGTGAAAGAGGTGCTGACACTACTGACAACGACCGTCAGACAAGGTGCTTTTTCATTCGTATTATTTGCTTCGCTTCGCAGAAACTAACTGCTTGCATGGAGGACTTCTATTCTAACATGTTTTATGCATGTTAAAATTTTTGTTGATAACTTTATACTAATTACTTTTATCTTACTAGCATAATATTATGTTTGATCGATATTGTAAATTTATTTAGAAGTGTTAAGATCTCTCCTTTTCTTTTTGTTTTAGTTTGTTTGCTCTATATGGCTTGACTAAAAATGAGAGGCGCAGCTTATTTTATGTTTTTTTTCCCTGTAGATACTGTATCTTTTTATTTATACTATTGATCATGAAAACTATATGAGAAGTTATTAAGAAAGATCTCGATATTAACTATTTGGATAGAAGCATTATGGTGAAAGTTGATCCATGTAGCCGACCTCACTTAGTGGGATAGGGCTTGGTTGTTGTTGTATACTCTTGAGCATGTCATTAAATTGATATTTTAGTTGTGTATGTTTGCATCTTAGCTTTTTAGTCTTAGTTTTTGGTATTATTTTGAAGTCGAAACTAGATTTAACCCAATAAATCTAGGGATACTTTATTGTATTGAAACATATTATTTGCTGTCTAAGTTTTAGAATTATATTTTCTTATAACTGCTGTGAACTTGGTTTGATTAATGAATGCTTCCTTGAGTTCTTTCCTTTTCTGTCCCGTGGCAATTTTCTTGTTCAGATCACAAACCTGACCATATAGTAAAATTTCTCTTCACTTTTTTGCTAATTTGTGTAATAATTATAATAGGATTGAGGGAGCAGAAATCAACAAGAGTCTTTTAGCTTTGAAAGAATGCATTCGAGCTTTGGACAATGACCAGATCCATATTCCTTTTCGTGGAAGTAAACTTACGGAAGTCCTCCGTGACTCTTTTGTTGGCAATTCAAAGACTGTCATGATCTCTTGTATATCTCCAAATGCAGGATCTTGCGAACACACACTCAATACCTTGAGATATGCCGATCGGTATGTGTTCCCTATTGAGTTTGACATTAGGTTCATAACCGGGAGTCCAATTCTCTGTGCACATGCATGTTTGTAGATATTAATTGTTTTCATCTTAATGTGAACAGAGTCAAGAGTCTGTCCAAAAGTGGAAATTCTAGAAAGGACCAGGCTCCAAATCCGGTACCACAGTCAAATAAAGAGGTTTTTTCCACGTTGTCCCTTCCAGACAGTGCCGGTGCTGAGGATTTTTATGATCAACGTCAACAGGTGAGAACAGTGGATACGGGCAGGAAAGTTATTGAGAAGGAACCCTCTTTGTACAGCTCTGCTGCTGATGTTGACAAGCAACCATCGAGTTTTTCTTCCAGCTTTTTATTCAACGGGCGAGAGGAGAAAGGTTTGCCTTCTGTCTCAATGGACAGGAACAGGCTTGAAGTGAAGAATGTGACTAGTCAAAAGATGAACCCTTATTCCCAAAATGATGCAGATGAGAAAGTGCTAAAGGTGTCTCCCCCACGCAGAAAAGGGACCAAGGAGGAGAAACCTGAAAGGTCCTCGAACTGGTCAAAAAGGGACACCAATGGTTCTGATCATTTCATCACAAGCTCCAAGCAGCAAAGCACAGGGAGTTTTAACACAGTTACCACTGGATCTAGGCAGCCTGAAACAGAATCCTCTCCTGATGTGAATAACAGTGCTGTTCTTGAGGTTTGGGAAAATCTTTAGAGCTGCCATTTATACATGTTTTCAATTGATTGTTAAACTCTTTTGTGGCAGCAGTTTAACTTCTTTGTAATACATCTGCAGGAGGAAGAAGCACTAATTGCTGCTCATAGGAAAGAAATTGAGGACACAATGGAGATTGTCCGTGAAGTGAGTTATTACAAATTTTTCTTTAATTGTTTCCTATACAAATATCTGGAAACAACAAATAAAGGAAAATCAAGATAATCTTTTTATAACTAAAAATAGGTTAAAAGTTATTTTTGATTCTTTATCTTTATTCATTTTGGTTTCTATCTTTGAAAAAATTATTTGTCCTTTTAGCTTACTCTAAAAATACCCTTTTTGGTCTTCTTTTGTATTCTGTAAGTTATATTAACGAGTCTTGTATTGTAGTATAGGTTACTGATGTTGGAAAAGGTCAAAATGACATATTTGTATAACTTACACAAACGTGACTAAAATGAATCATTGTAAATAAAAACCACCAGAATAAACATTGGTTATAAGATAAATAAATGAGCAAAAGCGTATTCTAGCCTTAAAAATAAATACAGAAACGATTTTCTTTAACCAAATAGATCCGAAGTTTCCACTGCATCTATTGACTGTATCTAATTGTTTTCCTCAGTTTCTACTGTAAGTTTAGTGACAATGGTAAAAAATTTGAACTTTCTGCTTGCAGACTAGTTGTTTGTTGGTGCTCATCTTGTATTGGTTTTGGTTACCAGGAAATGAAACTATTAGCAGAAGTGGACCAGCCAGGAAGTCTTATTGACAACTATGTAAGCCAGCTGAGTTTTTTGCTTTCTCGCAAAGAAGCTAGTCTTGTAAGTCTACAGGCTCGCCTTGCGAGGTTTCAACATCGACTAAAAGAACAGGAGATACTAAGCCGAAAAAGAGTACCCCGTTAAGTGACTTGGTTTCTCTTCTTCAATGTTGATGTTGTGTATGTAATTTTCGTTCTCTTGTGTTTGTTAGAAGTATAGTTTGAAGGCTTTTGTTCATTTGACTCAACAAATCTTGTGGGATATTCGAATTAAATTTACACAAATGTATATTCGTCCCTTGTGTGATATATGACTTGGCAAAATGAATTTTAGTATTGTTAGCATCATTTTTTTTATCACCTTTCTATTGACATATTATTAAGTAGCCTAACTTTCATTACTTTTCTGCTATTCAATTCAAAGATTTACATATAGGTTGGTTGGATTAAGGTATTCCACCAAAAGAAAAGGACTGCCATCTGGTCAATGCCTATAGAATAAACGTGGATGTGGATAGGTTCTTAAAACAACCGGCAATGTTATGAAACTTGGATTAGTGTCCAATGTAGATCTTAAGTTACGATGCTTATTCAATGGACTAGTATTTTTGATTTGTCCGTAAATTATATATAGTTGATTAAAACCTTAGAAAATAATACAGTTAAATACGTGCATGCTCGGAGTGTAAATACCATTCTCTTCATTTTCGTATACCATTCATATTCGTGTTAATGGAGATCAATTACTAGTAAATCACAACCTTATAAGTTATAAATATTATTTTAAAATGTCATTAGTTATATCCATTAAATCATATTACGCCTAATATAATAGTCATCATGAGTTAAAAAATTGTAGACACTTCCTATCCATGACACGATCATCCAGACATTTGTCAGCTTCTTTTGAGGATCTTTGTGGGAGCAAGATTCACTTTCTCACATAGTTTATTTATTTAATTAATATTAATAATGTTTATAATTTAAATAATTAAAAAATATGAATTTAATTGGTATGCACTTACCATTACAATGTAAAATTACATTGTGAACCAATCACCCTCATGTAACTTGTAAATTTTAAATTATTTTAAATTATTAATATGACATGATAAATAATTTCTATTGGATAACATATTCAATTATTTTACACCATATCAATTAAACTCTTAAAATATTGATATGAATGTGTTTTATATTTGTTATGTTTCTAATGCAAGAGTTAACAACATTTTATTAATAGTTCATATCTTTGAAAAAGTAACAAATTTTTTTAAATAATTAAAAAAAAAACATTTATAAAATTAGTAATTAAAAAGATTTAGCCATTTTAAATAATCTAAATGTGCATTTGACTTTCTTCTCAATTCAAAATTCTATTTTTTCTTATACATGTCGAGAAATAGTGAAAGAAAATTAAAAATTAAATCAATAATTTTTTTAAAAAAGTTGTTGATTTTATAAGTTCTTTTTACAATATTATATTATAAAAAAATGCCACTACTAAAGATTTTTGTAGGGTTCGTGTGATTATATTTCAACAATTAGTTTTACATGGATTAAAAATGATTGTATTTCAACAATTAGTCTTACATGAATTAAAAACTTCAAAAATTTATTTCCAAACTATTTCTTTACAAAATAAATCACTATGCATATATTTGATATATTTTGGAGTGTGTTTGAAGATTCATTTTTGAAATTTAAAAATATTTTAGTATTTGAATTTTAAATTGATTAAGTATTTAACTAATGCAATTTAAATTTCTTATACTTTAAGTTACAATTTTTTTAAAATCTTAAAATTCGACTTTGCGATTTACTAATGTAAAAGAATAAATTCTACCATTCATTATCGGTTTAAACCCAGAGTTTGACTTTGCACAAGAATTGTTAGCATCAAACTGAATTCGAACTTTAGGATTATAATTTTTATCGGTTATCATAGGTGCAGCTTAGCTGTACATATTAATTTTCCGAATATCTAACACTAATTGTATTCATTTACTGTTATTGAATGCAACAATCACGTCTTACTCTTACTGGTTATTTATTATATTTGTTGACTAAAATTTAATTACCTCTAGAAACATTAATGTGTATCCTTGTGTCTTATGTAAATAAAGCAAATATTATTGGAGTACTATATTCACATGGTACAAGAGCACTCTTTAGCTTCAAAGCAAAAGTGATCCAATCCCATACCTCGTCTCCAGCAACATCCACAAACACTAGAAACACCTTTCTTGTTGGTACACATAGTATCATTGTCCTTAGCACTCGAAGTTTCATCAATCTGAAAAGCAATAACTACCTAACATGACATGTTCAAATGGATGCTCCATTCATCGATGGAACATACACATGCCATGTAGCAAATGATGCTAGCTATAATTAGTGGACGCATAAACATCAACTCATGCTATAATCTCTTTAGTAGATCACACCATTATCACAATGTTAGGCAATGTCAAAATATTCAAACAAGTTTGAGATACTCTCACAAAAATGTATACAAGCAAAACGAGGGCTCACATCTTGCATCTCAAGGAACGTCTTATTATTTAGTATTAGTCGATCATTTTGCAAATTATATTTGGCCTATCCTTTGAAACATGAATATGTTGGGTTACTCATATTTCATAAATTCAAAATCATTTTGCAAATTATAATTGGCCTATCCTTTGAAACATGAATATGTTGGATCACTCATATTTCATAAATTCAAAAACATGATTAAAAAGTATTTTAATATGCCAATTATAACAATGTATTTACATAATGACGGTGAATTATTAAACTAAGATCCTTTTTAACTCGCCATGACATATCCCACATTACTGCATCACCACACTCTTGAGATTAATGTTAATGTAGTAAGTCGACATAGACATATAGTTAAAGTTGGTAAAACCCTTTTTCAGACCACAAACCTACAATTTTTTGATTTTTTTACCTATATGTCACAATTTGAAACAAAAAAAATATCAAAATACCACTATTTGAAAAAAAATTATTAAAATGTCATGTTTTCTCTTTAAATTCACAGGTTAGACGATCTTATAAAATTTTTTCTGCTGCTGCATTGGCTCGACCAATGGTTTGAAAATTAACATGTCAAATAATTAAAAACTGCATTTAAGAAATATTTAAGAAGAAATAAAATTGTGTTAGTGAGTCAATGATACAAACAGGTAAAATTAAAGAATATTCACATCATAAAAAATATAAAAAAAAGAAATACTACTCTTCTATGGTGCAAAGCATTAGAGCGTGAATAAGCCGTCGACACGCGTTGGCACACAGTTATCGAGTAAGAACACAACAAAGTAAAGACGAAGGGTCAGCGCTGCTGCATGCTGCTCATGCCGTATTCAAAGCAACAAAAAAGCAAGAGAAAGCCATTGCTACCCGCACCGACAAATCGCTTAAATCAACTTAGAAACTACTCCACCAATTTCATTTTCCTTACAAAGATTATTGTAATAATATAATATAACACAAAAACAACACTGATCAAATTCAAATTCCTTTCACATACTCAACTTCTTTTTCATTACAAAATAAACTCATACTAATTAATACTAACATATACACAACAGCGCGTTTTAGCAAAATATAAATAAATAAATAAAAGCTGAGAGTCAGATCTAGAAAAACAAGTAGAGTTTCGGTTTCAGTCATCTGAGTCGCCACCACCGAAGATTGAAAAACGGTTATACAGAAGCACAAGAATGATGACGAGGAAGAGCGCGACGCCGAAAGGAGATCCACTAACACGGTGAATGGTATCAGGTTCGCCGGTGGAAAAAATAGCGGAGATGAACGAGCCGCGTTCGGAGGAGAGGAACTGAATAGTGAGGAGAAGGATGATTGGTAAGAGAAGAAGACCGAGTGGACTTAAGAGCTCCGATATAGCTTCGGTGACGGCTTCACCTTGATCTCCGAGAAGGAAAGGGACGATTACCACTATAGCTACAACGACGGCTAGGAGAATGCCGTGTGGTGCTCCTCCTCCGCCACCGTGCTGTCTTTCTGGAACCATGTTAGGAGTAGAAGCAGCAGCAGCAAAGGGTTGAGATTGTGTTTGGTAAGATGGTGAAATGAAAGGTTGTGTGTGATGTTGGTGTTGTCTTTTTTGGAGTTATTGGGGGGTTTTAAAATAAGTGAGTGCTTTGGGGTTGGGGACGCGTAATGTTCAATTTTCAATTTCAATTTCTATTTGATTTTTGGAGTGGTTTGGCTTGTGCAGGGAAATGGGAGTAAAATAGCAGCATAGCATGCCATCATGTGCGTGGGGAAAAGGTAAGGAAGGTGGGGAAATAATTAAAGAAGGGGAAATCAAATGGTTTTGGTTAATTTGCTTGCATCATGTGGGGAATCCCTTGTGATTTTTTATGGAAATTATTAATATACCCTTTGAATTTGTTGATGGATCTTATAAAAATTTTATTTTGACCCTATTTTAAAAAAGTTTTTCTAATGAATGTTTCAAGGACACTTTTTAAAGATTTTTAATAAATAAACTATTTTATAAAAAGTTAATCATTTTAATTTTTGAAATGGTTAAATACGCACCTTCCTAAGAAAACATTTCTAGTTTAAAACCTTAAAATGTATTCCTTGAACATTAGATATCATTTCAAAAAAACTTTTTAAAACTAATATCATCCGAAACATCCTTACGAAATATGTCATTATAACATTTATTGTTTTAGGCATGGCCAATAACCTTGCTAGAAGGCAAAACACAATTTCTAAAACAAAAGACAACAATTTGTCTATGTGTAGAATCACGCCTAAAATTTATAGGTCTTGTAAACGAGTGTCTTTTGGGAAACTCCTTAAGAATTCTATATTAAAATAAAAGTTAAATAGTTTAATTTTTCGTATATTGATTGCACGAATTTTTACAATTTCTTACTATCCTTCCGGTATTATCTATTAACAATTTTATAAAAAAATTCCTTCTTTAAAAAAAAAATCTAAATGCATTGGAGTCTTACTCTCTTTTTAATTTTATCCATACTTTTTGTCTTGTAAATTGTAAAAAATATATAAATATAAAAAAAAGAAATATATTTAAAATAATGATATTGAATATAATAATTATATGTGATTTTTGCTTATATTTAATATTATTGAAATAAAAGATTTATTGTTTATATTTGAGATTGAAAGAAATATTTAAAATTCTTAAAAAATGTTCGGGAACATTTCGATACAATTTTTCAAATTTATAATAGAAGATTTATATAATGAATGCTTCTACCTTGAATATTTTATTGTACTTACAAATATTTCAAAAAAGAAAAAGAAATTCAGAAATAAAAAAATTAGCATTTATCCTAAAAAATATATTTTAGCTTTATTATAATTTTAGTTTTTATATTTCAACTCTTCCCTTGATTAACTAGTTTAGTTATTTTAAATTTAACCAATGTTCTCCTTTTACGTTATTGCACTTGAAATAAAATGTGCTTATATTTTTAATGACGTATATATTGTGTATATTTATCAATATATATTAAAAATGATGGATAATAACTATTAAATTAAGGATAATGTTAACTTGTGCCATAGGTTAAGAAGTAAATGTAAAAATAATATTTTGAAAATTGTGTATTATTTTTAATAAAAATAAAATTTTTAATTTTTTATTGATGTTTCCAAAACAAACTTTCTATAAATGTGTTTCTTAACTTGTGTCCTTGGGCACAAGTTAGCATTACCCTTAAACTAATGAGTAATGAAAAGTTCCAAAAGTCATCTAATATACAAGAATATTTTCTTATCTTGAATCTATCAAGTTTCTTTTCCATCATCATCTTCCCATCCGTGTAATTTTCTTTCTCCGTTTCATAATTTGCTTTCTTCCACATCTCTATGCAGTTCCTTTCAATAGGTACTTTGATTTTTAGTTTATTTTTCATGTTCTCCCTCCCAATTTGTTTCTGCTGCTCTCTCTTTGTTTTTTAGGTCTTTCTATTTTCGGCTCTTTTCTCTTCCTTCCCTATTTTTCTTTGTTGATCCTTTTTTTTCTCTCCTTTCTACCATGGATGCCAATTGCCCAAAATCTTTAAAAAAAACATTGTCCAAGGGGAACATATTCGTACCAACTCCAACACTATGTGTTTTCTCAATCATATGAAAGAAAAACCTAATCATGTTAACCAAGATTTGTCTTCGGTTGATTATGAAAACCCTGCAACAAAAAACTAGAAAAATACCCAGATAAATTATCCTTCAAATAAAATTCAATCTGAATTTAATATGGAAATTATTATCATACCCAAAAGAACTATCAGAAAACCTAATATCATTGAACCTTCTAGAAGCTCTCTAGTCAAAACTAAAGGCCCTTCTTTCTTCATGTATGAAGATGAAGAAATTCAAGATGGAGAAGAATCTCTTAACCCTTGTATTTTTAGTAAAATCATAATAGACAAACTGATTCATAAGGGTTATATCGAAGCTTCTTCAGCAAATATATGATACAACCCTCTGAATTTGGAAATAAAATAAATTGATTCATCTCTTTTTCAAAATTCTTTAGGAAAAAAGAAAGATCATAATTGCATTTTGAAGGGTAGTCCCTGGATTTTTCAGGAAATAATGGTCAATCCTCCAGGAATAGAATGGAAAAGATCATTTACAAACCCTAGATTTTTTTTAAAGCCCCCACTTGGGTCCATTTTTGGGTTCTCCCAATCATTGGGAAGACCACCTAAAAGGGTTACAAATTAGGGAACAATTTGAGTGAAGTTTTGGATATTGGAATCTATGAAATGCCTTACAATCTATCAGTGTTAAAGCTAAAATTAACCTAAGTATTCAATCTTCTATCATGCTAGGAATATATATTAGTAACAAAGGTAATGGGATAAATTGGTTTAATTTTCGTTATGATTAGGTTTAATTTCCATTGTTTAATTTCTGTTATGATCACATAGGTCATAATGAGGAGCACTATAAAAGCACTACGCATCATAGCCATGGGATCACAAAAGTCAACCCCCTTAGCCCTCCCTTGGATGAAAACTAATTAAAGTGGTAGAAAACAAAAAATTAAAAGGATAGAAAATTTAGCAGCAATCCCTAAAAAAAGCCTATCATTAGCCTTTGCAACCTCATTCCTAAAGTTTTGATAAGCCAAATGGAAAAACTTTCTATGGAAGGAAAAAAGAAATCTAAATCTTCTTTGATGGAATACATAATTTTCAACAATAAGGCAACTCAGAATAAAAACAAGAAGAATGTTGGAAATTGAATGCTCTATAAAAACTCAGAAGTACTGTAAGGAGTTAGACAATGAAGATAACCTAATGAATCAGTCTCCAAAAACAAGCAACTCTCAAGCTAACCTCTGTAATGAGGTTGCCAGTGAAGGATGCAGATTATTTTTTGGAACTGCAGGGGGTTAGGAAACCCTCGTACGCTCACAGTCATTAAACATATGTTAATCTCTAACTCCCCTTCTATTTTGTTTTTAATTGAGACAAAAAATGTAATAATGTTAGTGTTTTTTACATGCTTCTTAATATTTCTCTCTTAACTAATATTCATAGTGTGAGATGTAGTGGTAATGGTAAGAGGAAAGTTGGGGCTATTTCTCTTCTTTATAGAAATGATGTAAACATTCAGATCAATGATTCTAATAATAATATGATTGATTTATATGTGATGGATCCTAATACTAATAGTTAGAACGAGGTTTGGAAAAGGACTGGGATTTATGGTTATTCTAAGGGTAATAAAAAAAACCTTACACTACTATAAAATACACCTTCGGTAACATAATATCACTACAGTTATGTCTTTCACCATTGTAATATCGCAAACTGGAAGCGTCTAATGCTTATTTATTTTCTTGAAAGTTATTTAATCACAGTTGATATAAACAACTGCGTTGATAAAGTGAGTGGTATGAGGTTCGAATCCTGACAATTATAGTTTTTTTTCTATTTTTCCTATTACAAAAAACGCGTGTCACTTAATTTCATAAATAAATAAAAAACTGAAAATCATTTAATCACTGTTTTAATATTCAACCGTTGTAATATGATACTTACAACCTTTGCTCTTCCCAAAAGAGAGAAACACTCTTCCCAAAAGAGAGAAATAACTATAATGATGACTGAATTTTTTTTTCATTTTTCAAGACGGTCACAAGTCATTCAAGAATATCAACCATTAGAAGTAATCATTGCAAGGATTAAATCATCAGATGTTTCATCTTTAACCTCTTCTATGTTGCACCCCAAAATTTGCCCTCTTGTTTCTAACCCTATTTGGCTTGTGCTTTATATTCATATGCATCATCCACTAGGTCATAACACTCATAATCATGCATTTCATTGAGCTTCTAAGACACGGGATCAAAGATTTTCTTGTGATTTGTGGGTTTTTCCCATCTTAGGGGAGATTCATCTGGTTATCACACTCAAGTTAAGGTAAGATTTAAACTCTCATCATCTTAATCATCTCCCGAGGTCACAAGTTCATCAGTTATTCAGGATTTCACCGTGGTTTCAACTAAGGTTTGCTCTGAGCAAGGGTTTTGTTGGTTTTCCATCTCTCAAGCCTTTTCTCTGCATGAATCTCAAGAGGCTAGGGTTCCTTCATTATTTGTTTCATTAGTTCAAATTTGATTGCAAGTTTCTATTCACAATTTGCTCAAGATTAAGGCTTTGGTCAAAGTCAACTTGAGGTTGACTTTTTGACCAAAACTTGATTCCATGGTGTGAGAAATGTTTCAAGGGTTATTGGTGCATCTTATTGGCCTTCTCAAAGTGATTCAAGTTAACTTAAGAAGATATTTTAAGGGGATCGATTCATTTGCAAAAAGTCAACAAAGTGCTCAAAGTCAAAGTTTGACTTGTAGGGTTTTTGGTCAACCTTGAACATTTCAAGTCAAATTTCAAGAGGTTGAAAGATTAGGATGATTTTCATCAAGAAAGATCATGAAAATCAAGAATAGTATGGAAATTATAGAAATGATGGATTTTGGAAATTTTCCTAAGTGTCAAAGCACATGATCATATG